AGAACATTAAGAAATACTGAAATAATAAAATCAATAATGCTTGTCTGTTAATGAAATATTTTGTTTTTGGGATTATCTTCAATCATTAATACTGATTAATTTCTTGTATTTTCTCAGCACCAAGTTATTTCACATACATATTTAATTGAATAAAGTTTATTCACAGTAGAAAAATGTGCAGTGGTTGCCAGAATAATAAAGAAAGCTCTTAAACTTCAATATCATGGAAATTTTTTTTTCTTCCAGTATAAAGATCAGGTTATCATTGTTATTATAGTTCTGTTTGATCCTTACTAAGCACATGTTAAACAGAGTCATTGCCTTAGATAAACAATGGACCATTCCTGTTTGATTGCAAGGACAGACTGAAGAAAAGATATACTAAAGGTGCTGTTTGGTTCTAGGGAAAGAGATTAGAAAGAAAGAGGTAGATAATACTCTCATATATTTACCATCTGCTTTAGTGAGATGGAAAGACTTTAATTTCAAAGCCTGCATTCCTATTTATGATTGTTATTGCAATGTTAGAGTTATTAAGATCAAATATCTAACAATGCGATAAAGGAATTTCTATGGGCATTTTATAGATGCTCATCTTGCAATCAATAACTTAAAAATGATTCATCAGAAAATTCAAATAGGAAAACTGAATTTTTTATGGGTGTTCCTAGTTGTTGTTATTCATGCCTTTTTCTCTCTGATATGTTTTATTGAATATTAGTTTTATTCATAAATCATGTTTTATATCAGAAACTAATTACACTTTTCAGATCGTGTTGCATAGTGAAATGGACGTGTCTGTTTTCATTATTTACATGTAGACTGTTGTCCTCATCTTTGTTGTTGTTATCACAATGATTCAGCAGCAATGCTCTTCAGCCTTTATCAAGTGCTTGTCAATCTGGCTAACCCAATGGTCTTGTGGATTAAAACATTTATGTGACATAAGATTTGTGGTTTCATTCGTTGGGTTGGACAATGTGTACTCATTGTAAATAACTAAGCAGTACACAATAAAAAGTAGTTGAGATATCCCTCAACATGGTCAGTGGAAAGAACTACCTGCCCTCTTAGATTAAATAAAGGGTTAAGTTCAAAATTTCCTGAAGGTTACCCAAGTCAACAAACAACTGGCAAAAGCCAGTGCTTACAGTGGCCAAAATGTTGTTTGCAGTGAGCAGAATGTGATAACAACAACAAAAAAAAAGACACTCATCTGCATGTATATAAGTAATGATAACTGCTCATCCCAGAAATTTAGACAATGACTATCTTGGTTTTGTTTGCATAGTTAAATGGACTTCTCTATTTCCAATGTTTTATAAGCTGTTGTGTTTGTCAGCTCAACTTCTTAGGCCTTACTGCTTCTTGAAATGAATACCCAAGACCAAATGTTATATAAAAAGCTAGCAGCATGGCCCGGCGTTGCCCGTGCTTGATTAAAAAATCGTACGACTCATACAGCAATCGCTATCACTTGACTTAAAATATTTTTGCCCTTCCTTGCCTTTTTTAAAGGAGTTCCCTTTGCCGTGCTGATGTTGCTACATGCCTTACTTCTTGCCTATCTCACACTGCTAATTTTTTCTAAGCTCTATACTAAACATTAAATCTGCTACTGAAAAAGAACTAAAACAAAATGAACACAAAATGATCAGCTTTAAAGGACTCGTAACTGGAAAAACCAAATGAAAAAAGAATGTTAACAACAAATACTTTTTTCACACCCAACCCAGTTCTCTATGGAATCAGAATCATTGTTGAGTTTAAGCGGTTGAATGAGCCAATTGGAGTAAAGTACCATGCAAATTTAAATTTATCCCACTTGTGACAAATGCAGCTATCGATTTTTTTTGTATGCTATCATGCTAGTTAACATCTGTGTCAGTCAGCTGTTGGCTCTCGCGCTGTCCAATAGAATCTTCCTGCCTATTCGTGGCAGCCAGCTATAGGCTCTCACTCTGGTCAGTACAAAATGGCCGCAAACTACATGAAAACTGTCGTAGAAGCATGAAAAAATCGATTATTTCCACTATCGATAGGAGTTGGGAAATGCAAAGTCAGTCTTGGCCTTCCCGCTAACTTGGAGCAGGTGCATGTAAATTTTGGTGCAAATCCGTCAAAAATTGCAGCCGTGCATTCACACACACACACACACACACACACATCCTTCCTTTTATAGATAGAAATATATGACTTTCAGACTAATTAGCTTTAAGCCTACCAATCACATCTGCTTACAGAGTATTGGCTGGTAGGACTTAATATAAAGAATTCCAACATTATATTTTCACTGTAAGTAGGAGTGGTTGGTAGGTTTAAAGGTAAAAGCCAGTAAGTGTTAGTATTTTTATATAGATAACATTTAGTTTAGGGTGTTCATTTTTCATTGTTACACATTTGTCCTCCATTTAGCTCTGATGAGAAAGGACTTAGCTGACTTCCTGAAATATAATGATATAAATCAAGGCTTATTAGCCTGATATCCAGCTGTTTTCTTTCTTGAATAAAATAGTTCCTTGTCAGATACAGAATTTCTATTGCTGACCTCTTAACAATTATTACTGAATTTGCTTGGTCTGTCATTCCTTATATAAGAATGGTGAGGCTTGGACTGTGGCTTTAGACATATTGAAAGCATTTAGTAGGGTTTAACACTCTAGCCATCTCCACAAACTCAAGAGCTATGGTGTTTCTAGCCAAATATTTGAATTACTGTGTTTTCCGGCTTACAAGATGCTGTGGCTTGGAAGATACACCCTAATATTGGAATGAAATTTCTAAGGAAAAAAAAAAGAAGTCATTCTCATATAACAACACATTTACCATGTGTCCCTCACATACTGGCGCCACGTATTGTTTACATTAATCACTCGTCTGATTTTGTTTGTATGGCAATGACATACTAGTCAAGAGCAGAAAGGCTCTTGCCACTGCTTGTAAATAGAGCCTGTTTAAGCTTGAGTCTCGGCTCCAGAAAGGTTTATAGTCTTGGAAATACTTATAACAGCTAAGTACTGAGATTACATCATATAAAAGGTTGAATTAGATAGCTAACATTATAATGTAATGACTCAACATACAAATCCACGACCCTATCAGTCAAGCCAATTACATGACCATCCAATCTTACTTGAGCCTGGGTGTTGTCTTACATTCATCTTGGAAAACGCACACATATTTTTCAGGGGAAAAAAAAAGTGTATCTTGTCAGCTAGAAAATACGGTAATCCAATCGTTCTTAACAAATCATCTAATAAAGGTCATATTGAACAGACACACTTTTAGATCATTAATAACTGGGAAAGTTTGTTCACTATGTCATGCCAGGCAATCAGAATCCATATTGCACACTTATAAATTTAACATTTGTTCATGTATTGAATATTGCTGCCATATCTGGTCTGGTGCTTCGACTATATATCTCAAGATTCACAACAAAATCCAAAGAAGGGTCTGTAATGTAATCAATCTTAACCTCCGTCACTTTCTTATTGCTGTGATGTGTCTTGCCTCATTCTTTTTTATAAATATTTTCATGGCAAATGTTCGGATGAGCTTTTCACCTTGGTGCCTCGACAAAGCATACTACTAGATTGGCAACTAGGTCTCGTCATTTTACTGATGAAATAGATGCAACTATTAGTTCTATTCTGATAGTTCTGTTTCTTACCTGTGGAACTCATTTCCAGTTTCTTGCTTCTCTGCCAACTACAATCTTCAAAAATTGAAATGCAATGTCAATCGCCATCTTCTGTGTTCCTGAATCCTCTTCTTTCATTGTCCTTTCTCTTCATTAAATCTTCTCATTCTCTTTTACTCCCAGTAATCTGTTGCATCTTAGTGGTATTATTGCCTTACTTGGGCTGAAATGATAAAAAAAAATGTATATAGAAATCTGAATTTTTGGTCAAATTATGCTAAAACACCAATTTTCATTCTATCATGAAAGTTAAGTGGCATTGTGCCAAGTCATTACTTAGATGGGGGACTGTTTGGGAACATTAGGCACTCTAAGCAACTTCCTACAATCCTAAATCTGTTATGGCTTTAAATAACCCAAAAAGGGTTAAGTATTTAGATGTTGGACTACTTGGCAACACTGGATACTGTAAGTGACCTCCTATAATTTGCAATGTATTTTGGCTTTAAATAACCTGCAAAAGGTTAAGCTTCAAAAAACAAATAAATGAATATAGTTATAGTAAAAGATGCCTTTCAAAAATTAAGCTAAGTATTAAGACATTGGAAAATTTAGTTGGGAACAAAAATAGTGCTGAACTATACAATATCTCATAGTTAAAGTTTACTGAGAGCAATAAAAGACAGGAAGTTGTGGAGAGTTTTGATCACCAACGTCATGAAGGGAGAGGCTACATAAAATAAGGAATTGTTCAGTATAGCAGGTGGAATTAATTCTAGAATCTCACTAGACCCCAGCCTGGTAATAATGGCTTGAAGAATTTCCAGACTTTACCACCTGCAGACCTGTTGTCTAATGGTTCATTCCACATAGATTTTTGCAGTTCTTGCTAGTCTTGGAGACCAGATGGAATCGGCAGGGTGTCTCGATATATGGCTTAAAGACAGATGAATGAGCAGATTGGCTTATAGCTCTTGGAATTAACTCGACTTGTCATTTGTACCAAACTGAGAAGACCTTATGTATAGAGAAGGTTGGGTTTGTGTTCTTAAGGGCTGGTCAAATTGCTTACAGGGTCCTAGTGTGGCTTTTCTTTCTCTTAGTCCCAGTACCTTCCAAAAATGTTTTGGGCAATTTGATTGACAGCCGTAATTCTGCTCTGACCCCCAAAAAAAAAATCCCTGTTACATGTTTTGATGAATTGAGCTGAACTGCTCTCTGAACTTTTAGTTGTCTTAACCACAATATTTTTTTATTTATTTATATTAATTTCTCTTTCTTACTTAGTGTCATTTTTTAGGGAAATTCAGCTGAAGTACTTTGTATTACTTTTTCTTTCTCTCTCTTGCTGTTTTAGTTTTTGTCTTTCTCTCTCTCTTGCTGTTTTTGTCTTTCTCTCTCTCTTGCCGTTTTTGTCTTTCTCTCTCTCTTGCTTTTTGTTCTCTCTTTCTCTCTCTGTTTTTCTCTCTCTCTTGCCGTTTTTTTTGTCTTTCTCTCTCTTGCTTTTTGTCTCTCTCTCTCTTGCCGTTTTTGTCTTTCTTCTCTCTCTCCCTTGCCGTTTTTGTCCGCCGTTTTTATCTTTCTCTCTCTCTCTCTCCTTGCCGTTTTTGTCTTTCTCTCTCTCTCTTGCCTTTTTTTTTTTCTCTCTCTCTCCCTTGCCGTTTTTGTCTTTCTCTCTCTCTCTCTCCCTTGCCGTTTTTGTCTTTCTCTCTCTCTCTCTCTGCCCTTGCTGTTTTTTTGTCTTTCTCTCTCTCTCTCTCTCTCTCTCCTTGCCGTTTTTGTCTTTCTCTCTCTCTCTCCCTTGCCGTTTTTTGTCTTTCTCTCCCTCCTTGCTGTTTTTCAATTGTTACTTATATTCCATTTCTTCTTTTATAATTTTATTTTTCTCAGTTTATTTGTATTATTGCTTGATTTTGCTTTCTTTTAGATTTTTCCTTCACTTTATCATTTTTTCTCTTTCATAATAATTTTTTTTTATCTTTCTCCTCTTGTTTCCTTTTTTTGCATTTTTCTCTTTACTTGATATAACTTTTGATTTACCTTTTTTTTTTTTTTAATTTCTTTTTAAATTTTTGATTGCTACTTAATTTTTATTCATGAAAACATTAGTCACCATTGTTTTGATATTTTCTTTATTTTGTCCCCCCATGATTTTTTTTTTTTTACTTCTAATCCACCCAACACCCCTCTGATCTTTTCTCTTTTCTTTCTCACACCCCTCTTCTTTCCTTCTGGCATGTCTCCTTACACATTTTGCTTTTTTTCTCTCCTTCTCTCTCCCACTCCTTTCTCTCCTTACTTATCTCTTTTATATTTCACTCTGGTTTGTCATTCTCCACCTTTACTCTAATCCCATGTCACTTTTTTCCTGCCCTACTCTCATAACCTCCTTAAAAAAATTCTTTTCATTCCTTCATTTTCATATCTTCTGATTGTGTCTTTGCAGGATTGCAAACAGAAGTGTATGGCAGTTCATCAGTGGCACTGGGATCCTTCGACCAAAGGTAAGCGTGTTGATTCTCTTTGATATCATTCAGTCTTGTGGTGATCTTTGAAGGAATTGCATGTAAATTCCACTTGTAGAATGATCACCTGGTCAGTACCAGGACCCAGGGACCGATGAAGAACATCACTGAAAGCAGCTTGGATGGAACTAAAGGGGCCTCCCCAGGAAAGAAATTGAACTCTGTAAACTTTTAACTGCTTTTCTGACAAAACAGAAATGACAACACTTACATCTCTATATCTCAATGATACAATATGGTAATCTGTATGGAATTTCCAGGAGGACATAGATCCAGGGAGAACACTATGTCAAAAGACAGAGCAAAATTATTATTAATTAAAGAATATCAAACAGTTAAAATCCCATAGGTAATAATTTTTATTTCATGAGAGCTCTAAAAAAGCAGCTCTCAAGCTTCAAGACCTCTGCTTTGTTTTTTAGGGCTCTCATGAAATAAAAATTATTACCTATGGGATCTTAAGTGTTAGATATTCTTTAATTACTTATATATATATATATATATATATAATTTTCCATGGTAATGGATTTTTATTTATCAATCCTATAGATTTTTTATCGCTTAAAACCTTATTTTTAGCGGGTACTCATATTTGAGTAGACTTCCATTTATTCAGGCCGGTAGACAAAAATAAACATATTGTTTAATAAATAAATGGAGTGTCTACTCAAATATGATTATCCACTAAAAATAAATGCTTATAGTTATTTTACACACACACACACACCATTTAAGCTTTATCTATCTCCTTCTATATATATATATATATATATATATATACACACACACACACACACTCACCATTTGGACCTTTTACTCTCTTTTTATATATATATATATATATATATATATATATATATATATATATATTTAGACCCCAAAAACACATTGATCAGTAAATTACTGTAGGGTAAAGCATTCAAGGTGTGTAAATTTTGGCAAATAAAGGACTCAGAATAAAAAGAAATTAAGCAACAAATTAAAAAAGTTAAAATGATTTGAAAATCAACTTTCACAGAGGCACTGAACATTTATTTATCTATTAACGTATATATATATATATTTTCTATATATATATATGCATGCTACCATTTTCTATGTGTCTGAGTGCGTGCATGTATGTATACGTATACCCAGATGTGTGACAAAAAGGGTAAAAATAGCCTAGTTGTTATGGATAGCATAACAACTTGAAATGTCTATTGGGTGTCTGTGTGTGTGTATATGTATATATATATATATATATATAGTCATCCACAGACAGACTGTTTAACAGCTCATCAGTGTGGCGAGACATCTAATTGCCTCAAACTGAGATCAAAACCCGACTGTTTTAAATATGTATATAAAATGTACTTTGACCTCTCAGACACAAAAAACCACCTGGTCAAGCAAAGCCTGAATAGTGCTTTCCAACAATGACCTTTTTTACAGTTCTTGAAATATACATCTCTGCAAAGTATTTTTAGGAATAAATTTTTCATTTATCAATCAGACATATTTTTCTTTTCTTTTTTTTTTTTTTATGGCTGCCCACATTTGAGTAGATGCTGTGTTTTTTATCTGTTTATTTCCATCTACTGGGCTCAATATTTGAGAAATCTTATTATAAAAATATGCGCCTTCCAGGCTTTGCTTGATCAGGACGGTCTTCATGGCTGAGAGGTCAAAGCATCTCAGATCTAATGACAACTTCCTCTCGAGAAACGCATATATATCTATATATAATTTTATTCTATAACATGTATTAAATACACGATCACAAATGTTATTGGTTTTTCAAAATTCTTTAATTAGGAATACTCAAATATTCATCAGGATAGCTGAAAGCATCAGGTACAGTATCAGGGATGCACTTAACTTTTTACTTGCACTCTTGAAGAACACACACATGCACATATAGACACACACACACCCACTTTTTACTGGCACTCTTGAAGAAAACACACACATATTGATGCAATGACCTTGTTTCATGTACTCTTCAAGAACCCACACTTATTTTTTTTCTAAAGGATTAATAGATTTATTTTTAATTCAACATTTTTATTATTTAATTATACTTTCTTAATTTCATTTACTTTTCTTAATTCATTATCCATTATATATAATAGCGTTTGAACATATATATATATATATATATATATATATATATATATATATGTAATGACAATGAGAATAATGTAAATTGTAACATTCACAGCATTAATTCTGGAAGTCGTGACTATTTCGATGTTGTTTAGATGGGGTAAGGTATATTGGATGTTATAGAATTGGTAGGCAGTGTTATGTATTTTTGTTTCATTTATTATTATAGTGTTGTTATTTTTGTTATGGTCATATATTTTTTGTGTCTTTCTCTTTACATTGTGGATGAAATGATAGGGATATTGGAGATTTTAGAATGTGTTTTCTATGTGTGTTTCTTCTTTGGGTAAGTATTGGAAACTGGAAATTTTTAATGCTCTTAAGTAGAAACCTATAATTATACCAGATTTAATCTTATGAGAGTGGTTTGAATAGAAGTTGATTAAGTTTTTGTTGGTAAATTTTCTGTAAACATCAAAATCAAGTTCGCTATTGTTTTTTTCTGTGTAACATGATATCTAGGAAGGGAAGAGTATGGTTGGTTTCCTGTTCAAAGGTGAAGTCTGTTATAGGTTTAACGTTGTTAAGCTGGATGACAAAATTTGTTAAAATAGTCTTTTGTGGATATATTAGTAGGGTGTCATCTACTTATCTGAAATAGGAATAGTTTTTGAAAGGGCCACTTTCTAGAAACTCTAAAAATAGACAAGTGCGAATGGCATTGAGAGGAGATCCCATATGTAAGCCAAATTTTTATCTATAGAAGTGGTTACCAAAAAAGAAATATTGTTTGTGTATAGTTTTTCACTCGTCTTTACATTCATTTTGTCACTTCTACAGATATACTCCATCTGAATATATATATATATATATAATGATAATAATAGCTGGCCACTTGTATTTGAGGATACCAGTCTACTTGGGCGGATAGCCAATCCCTATTACAGATTCTCACTCAAGCACATTTGTGTTTGTTCAACACACACAGAGTCAACCTGTGGTTTATACTGCAACTATGCTGAGCAGACCTTAGTTACAGCTTCTGGGAGAGAGCATATTTTCTAGAATGATCAACAATCTGAATAAGGACAGCACACTCAAGTCACAATGACTTGTGACCTCATGCTAGCACAGCTATCAGCGGAACCATGTGTTCTGTCTACCCAATTTCACTCACAAGGCTTGGGTCAATCCGTGGTAGGATTTTTAGACACTTTCCAAAGGTGCTGCACGCTGGTATCATCCCCTTTCCAGATCAATGACATCAGGAAGTCTCCTTCCTGGCAAATTGACCATGGATGGTGGCATTTGAACTCAGGTCTCATGGTCAGAAAGCGAACATTCTAATCACTGTAGGTGAAAAGCTTATGTGAGGAAGTATTAAAAAATATTCAATAATGAATTTCTATATATGCTTTTAGTATTAGAGAGAATGAAAGTTTTTGAGGGATTTGTTAAAAAAATCCTAGCCATAATATTCCAGGTTCCATAAAGAGCTTTTATTCAAATCATTTCTAATGCATTCCTTTAGTAAAATATTTTTAATGAATTTCTATAGATGCTTTAATATTTGCTATATCACTAGATATGGAATCATTAGAGGGAATGAAAGTTTGGATGGATTTGTTTCATTAATCCTAGCCATAATATTCAGGTTCCATAAAATTTGCTAGTATTCAAATCATTTCTAATGCATTCCTATAGTAAAATCATTTGCAATGAATTTTTTTTTTTTTTTTATTTGCTATATCACTAAATATGAAATCATTAGGATGAAAGTTTGGATGGATTTGTTCAAGAAAGGATAAAGAGTGATATCAAAGGAAGCATGAACAATAGTGGGTATCATGTAATGGGAGATGTCGAATTTTATTACATTTGAATAGTTGGAAATATGTGTTCCTAGTAATTGGGATATATCCCACTGATAAAATATGAAGGTTGGAGTAGATGTATCCGGCTAAATTTGAAGGTTTCAGGGATAAGAATGGGATGCCAAATATAAAAGTGGATATTCATGGAGTCAACAACCAGAGGTCATCAGTCTGTTTCATTACCAATACAATTGTATCAAAAGACAGAGAATTGTGTTTAGTATATGATTTATTGCAGACATTATATTAATTATTTTATTTATATTTTTATAATAAATTTGGATTTTTCCATCATTAGAAGTCTGAGGTATTCAAACATTCCAAAACCATATTTCAAATTTGCTCCATGCAATAAATTTCTATTACTGTTTTGTATGATTTTATTTATTCTATTTGAGGAAAATTGTCTTCATGACATTAAACATCATGGCCCTAGCACAATTGATTTGATCTTTGTTCTTTTTAAAGCATAGTATTAAAACCTTTCTGACATCCATTAGTCCATTTGCTTTGATAGTTTTACATTTTTTAGTCCCATAATAGCTTGCATTTTTTTAATTAAATGTATATGCATTTGTTTCCAACTATTTCATATTCTATATATCTTGAAATTTCTATCAAATTTTCTGATAGATTCCTAAGTAAAAGCAAAAATTATATACTTCTAAGATTCCTTTTCTTTTCTTATCAATTGATAAAATTTGTCATTGTCTGGCATTTTTGGTCTGCTTTAATCTCAGACATCCTACTGATTACCCCACAACCTTTGGTTCACATTTCATCTATATCAATGTTTATTGGTAAATTTCACCGTTCCTGTTGTTTCATCTCTTCATCAATATCCAATATTTATTTAGTATTTAGCTATTCCTGTTGTTTCAAATATAGGACAGCATCAATAAACAATATTGAGACCAGGTATTTACTTTGATTCCTGTTCAATCAAACAATCTTCATTTGTATCCAATATTTACTGGGGGTATGATATTAAAAAAATTATTCATTGATATTTTATTT